GAGCGAATATGGACGATAAGTCCTGCCACAACAACCTGAGATCTGAGTGCAATTTTTAGCTCCACCTTGACAAATACGATACTATTATTCATATAAATTGAACTGGCAAGGTTTCAATAACACAAACCGTGGCGCTTGAGTTGTGTAAAGGCTGACCTCCCTATTACTTTCTTCTTAGATGTCACTCAGTTAGGGCGGTTGATGGCTGTTCAGTCTCGCAATAATGCTATAAATAGGGTCAAATGTACTGAGGCAGCTCGCTCATCTCCAGAAATTTTCTACGCCCCAACTAAGCTGTTTGTTTCTAATTAGCATTTAATCTTAATTAATAGGAGTGGTATTTAAAAGAATAAATAGGACAATTTGCAAATCTGATCCCAGTGAAACGCTTCACGGTGACAGAAAGCGATGGGAAAGGGATGCAGCAGTGGCGAGACTACAGTATCAGCACCCTTTTTTGTTTCCTTCTCTGTGTAAGGCTGGTATAGTACACAACGTATGTCTGACAAGCAGCACTACCAGATAAGCAAACATCATATTCACATTGTCTTGGGGAATGCGACTCCTGCGAATGTCCCTATGTAAAATCAAAGTGGATGTCATTGAGAGGAAAACCATCTCCTCAGGGCTAGAATAAACTCAGACAGACAAATATGCCCTCGCCACTGCATGCACTTCATTTATTGCACACAGATTACAGATTCTCCTAGTTAGACTCCTCCAACAACCCAACATGCCATCAACATAACAATTTACTCTGAGGTCTGCTTCAATTTATGACAAAGCCCATCGCAGGGGATGAGATGTGAAATGCTTAGGCGGTGGTGACTTGTGGGCTTGGATCTGACAGGGCTGAGAGAGTATTGAATTAATGATGCTGCGTTTTAAAATTCATTTTCATACAGATAAACAGTGTGAAATGATGAAATCCAATTAGAGCAATAAGGGACACTAAGGCAGGATCCAAGAGCATAAAGCCATCTGCCAGTGAGTAAAGATTGCTGCAGGGCTGTCTAATTGAATTTTGTCCTCTGACTGTAAATCTTACTAGTGACCCAAATCAGAAGAAAGTTTGCCTAAACATGCAAACCAACAGCCCTTGCAAAACTGTCATACAGGCTTTAAGGTTATATGCAGTGCAAGAAGGTAAGTGGTTTGCTCTTGCAACAAAGCCAACTAGGGAAAGTCTGAGGCTGGAACTATATTAAGGAAAAGAGAATTTAAAAAGCTGTTTTTTGTGTGTTTCTCAATAAGAACAAAGAGAAGTGATGATGATGATGATGATGATGATGATGATGATGATGATGATGACAGTGATGGGTATGCAGCTGGAACACACCCAAAACGGAACTAGCATTTCAATAAAAAAATGAACAAATCAGAACAGAATTTACCAAATAATAATAATAACAACAACAAGCCTATAGTATCACAAAACATATAGAATCTTGAGACCCTACCCCCTACTTTTCTGGATACTATGAATATATTAAATAATGAATACATTGGATTGTGGGTTTCGGCTGCCTGCTCGGCTCGGCTCTGCTGGTAAAGGCTGTGCTGACTGGATGGTGCACCCCTAAGTGTGTGAGCAGAGTCTGAAACCTCTCTTAGAAAATCCTCAGTCCTATATTACATATTTAAAAAAACACATAATGAACTTACAATAACAGCCACAGGTGCAACAGTAGGTTGCGACAATCTGCGTTAGTTTTCTCCAATCAAGCTAATTTGCATGGGATTAGGTGATAGGTGCAATTAAATGCATGCACGGTGGCTTTACTGTGACACAGAGAGTGGGAACATCAAGGAAATGCAAAAGAACATTAGAGCAGAAAACATAAATTAGCTTATTCACAGTCAACTAAGTTGATCTGAAGCCCGAGCGTTCAAGCAATTTAAGACAAGCAAATAAGAGAAGAAGAAGAAAAAACCTCCACACAGGAACACTGATGCATCCTTATTCACCTGTGATCCTCGGAGTGAGTCCGTATCCGTGAGTGCGCTGGGTTCAAACACACAGCCTTCAGCCTGCTGGACAGCGGAGCTCAAGACAGCAACAAATGATGTGTAGTGTAGAGATGGGAACAGGCGCTCGTTAAGCCAGTCAAATGCACAGTTTCCCCGGAGGAAGCTCGCAGGTCATCAGCGTGCTGCGCTCAACTTTCATCGGCGCAGTGAGTGAGAGCGCTCCGTCTGCGGCGAACAGCCACGGTTTCAAAGCGCTACTGATGTTGCTGCCCTACACTGGCACTTTATTTCTCACGGTGACAAAAAAAATTAAATAATTTAATAAATGGGGGAGAGAAGAGAGGCAGCAGCGCTCCGACGTCACGTTCAGCCGAGAGACCGCTAGATGGAGCAGTTAAATATGGCTCCAAGACAACAGGCAGTCAATTAGTGAGCCCGATGGATGTTTCACAGGTCGGTTCAGAAGGTTCACTCGCTGCTGTGATTAACGACTTTACCTAATTATCTGGAATTAGGGAGTCGTTTTCCATGGCGCACTTTGGTCTTTGGGGGTAATTTGGTGCCAGAAAAGAAAAAGACTAAAGCACCTGATGTAAGATTCTGATTAATTGTTGCATAAAGATGTTTTCTGTGTGTGTGCGGCCAAGATTCCTCCTCTTACCTGATTTATCTTAACTGAAGCTGTGAATTGCATCCCCTCAACAGCCCGCTGTTCATCAGTGTCACATAGTCATGTAATCCATAGAGATCCCGTTTTATTGTTCATTTGCCTGTTTCATTACCAAAAAGGTCTTAAATGGTTTAAGACATTATTTCACATTAGTTAGTCATTATTTATTGTTGCCAGTTGGAGGTGAGTTTAAATGACTAGCAGCACAAAGTCGCCAATAAGTCGCCACGCTGTCAGTTTTAGCCTATTTTCAGCTTAGTTTTATTTTCATTTTCATGCCTAAAACTTTTTTTTTCTTGCAGTCCAAGGAGATAGCATGCTTCATACTTCACTGCATTTACCTGACAGCTGTGAGTAAAAGATAAATTCCTGGGCACAGCAGCTGAGGGAAAAAAAATCTAACACCACCATGATAGCCTGTTCACAGCACAATATCCAGCAGGTGTATTATCTTAGCTGGTGCTGTTAGAAAGGAAATGCCATTAGCTTAGCAACTATGTGGTCACAGAACAAAGCTGAGCAGAGTGACAGTTTGACCTGATGCAGCCATAACTGATGTTCTTCCACATTCACTCCACTTTGCCCAGCTACATTATATGTAAATGCACATACAGTCTACCTATATAGTAGCTGGATGCACATTTAGACTTCAGATTATTGAAGCCACTCTTTTAATTTTACTTTGAAAGTGAATTTGTAGGATTTCTGTTCCCTTTTATGAAGCCGTTTTGGTACTTTTACCTTCTCCATCACTGGTAGCACTACCTGAGCACACAAAGAAATTATCCTAGAAATGCAGTTGGTAAAACAACAGCAGCAGACTATATGCTGTTCAGGTCTCTAAAAAAGTATTCCTTATATGGATAAAACAAACAAACTTTAAGATAAAGCAAAGCTTCTGAAATATAAATCTAAGGGATATTGTTTATAAGAGCAGACTATTGGTTGCATATTTACTGCTTATACGCTGGAATAAAGCCTCACTTTAAGGATTATGAATGTGAAGCTTCATAATAAAAAGTCTAGCATACAGACTTATTGTGTGTGATGGAAGTTTAAAAGAAGAAATCCCAATCTGCACCACAGACATGCAAGTCTGCAAAGTATTGCAGCCGTTTTTCATCAGGGCCTGAGCGTCAGCCTGTACACCTTTAAAAAATTATTTATTTTCTTATTTACCTCTAAATAGCTTTTTTTTCCAAAACTGCATTATGGCAGCAAGCTCCAGCAATGGCCCGCTCACTCCTGCCTGTGTCAGGTTGAAAAAGGAAATCATTAATATAACATTAGAAGCTGGCTGTGAACTCATAACTGCCCTGGGCACACATCAACATACATGCAGCAGCGTTCAGTGCACATACACCTTCCCCCAGGTTGAAATGTCATCCTTCACTGTCATTACATTTCTGCCCCCATTAACTATTGATTATCTCCACTTCAGCATTCGGAGCCCTGCTGTGGAAATGGCCCTCGTGGCTTGCTACGGATCAGGCGGAACAGAAGTGCTCCCCTCCTCCTCCTCCTGGGTTTTTACGCTGAAAAGGGAGCAAAGTCAGATTCGCCAAGGGGCGAGGGTAAAGAGGGACAAGCCGGCAGGGACACGGAGAAACAAGGAGTGACTGCACTGTACCCCCACCTGCCCACTAGCAGCACGGTTGAGCGGACGACTGGAGGTTAACTTGTTCTTTTTTTTTGCACCCATGAGAATTTTGCCACAGCATGTGTTGAATATTTACTGTGAGGTTCAGCTTCGCTTCTGTTTTCTTTCAGGAGAGTGCAGGTAGAAAAGTTTGTTTGGGCAGGAGCTGCATGCCCTCTGCCACAAACAAACTGCATCCTTAATACTATGGAGTAGTTTGTGCAGAGTTGTCTTCGCACTCCTGCTAGTCTCTATGTGGCTGTGTCCTGCTAATGGACTCCCTCTATTTTTTCTATATTTCAGCTGTTGAATGTTTTACACGTACAATCTGTGGAAGCAAATTCAGTGTTTGGGGGATAAAAATAAAGAATAAAAGTTGATCTTACGACCTTATTAATATCACTTTGTTTATGGGGTTTGTTTCCAAGTGTAGAAAACTGAATCACACCAGAAGGCTTCAGAATCCCTCATTTCTACAAAGGGAATAAAAAACACAAATCCTAAACAGTGTATATTCAACAAAATAGCTTCAACACTCTGAGATATTATCCATAATTTCGGCTAAGTGGGTATGTGTGGTATATACAATTATGGCTTAAAGCCACGAGTAAACAAGGGAGAAATCCTCAAGAGTCCAGGTTTATATTTATGACTCGGAGAAATCAGCAAAAACATGGAATTCTTTCACCACCGACAAAATTAGAACAAAAGCAACCAATCTGCATTTGTAAAAAGTCCCATTTATTTCAAAGTCATTTCATCAACAAACATAATAAATCTGCATTCTGGTATTTTTTGGTGGGTGGCGGTGGGGTGGGGGTGGGGGGGTGCCACACCAGGAACACATGAATAAAACATTTATTTAAATAACTGATCAGCACCCCGTTTCGGATGAAACAAGTCGAAGCCTTCCCCCACTCGCCGAGGCTGGAGAATAAACAAGAAACAAGCCGGTGTACGGTACGAGCGAGCGAGAGTTAGTCAGGCCAGTCCCTGCTTTACATGATTACTGTGTAGGGTGAAATCCACTAGAATCCAATGTGGCTTTAAGATAATCCCATCAGAACTGCAACAGTGCAACGCTACTACAGAACACCCAAGCCTGTTAGCACTGATGAGAGCCTATAGTGAAAGAGAGGGAGGGGAATATGACAGAAGAGTGGAACAATCCTTGTTTAAAAAAAACAAAAAAAAAAAACACTTAACTTCTACAGTGAAAAACCAAAGGTTTAACAGCCTGCTGCCAACAAAAGCACCACGTCTTTTATTGCTAGTTGACATTTTCTAGGAAAAACTAGTCACACAGACAGAAAACTACGGTAAGTCAATAATTGCATCGGGATAAGTCTTCGTATAAAGCTCTGGAACACAAATCCATTTGAAAAATAGCTTTTTTATGAATACAAGCCTGAGTTACCCACATTAATTGTTATACATGTCCATGAGATAATACTGACTTAATATGCACCTCTACTGCCTCATTTAATTAACGAGAACATGTTTTGATACTGCCAGCCTTTCTGCCTCTGTCTAATGTCATCCTGATTTATGGGGAACAAATGTTACACGGGGAAAACTTACACACTGGTGTAAGCCGATTTTAGGCCTATATACTTGCCATCCTTTTTAATTAGGTCCTATCGGTCGGCTACGATGCCTGGGCTCAAAAGCAGGTGTCAATAAGGAGCAAACTTCTGCCGCTCTGACTTTTTGACGCCGGAGGTTGGCATTTTTGCGGTGTAAGGGCATAAACCCTGCGTTAGGCTGGAAGCGGCTGCTGGGTGGACGGCCAGCACGGGGAGCGTTTTCATGCCAAGCAGGCTGGAAACGGGGACGGCGTAGTGTGGGTTTTGGATGGCTGGTAAGGTGGAGGGAGAGTGGACGTTAATTGTGGTGGGGGCTTGGGTGGTGGCCGCCAGGACGGCCATAGAGGTTGCAGAAGTGGAGGCAGTGGAAGCAGACTGTGAGAAGCTCATGTTCAGGTCAACTGGGGTCGCAGAGGAAGCGACCTGCATTGTGTATTTAGCCATCTCTAAGCTGCAGGCCGTGACGATTGGAGGGGTAGTTGGAGACGGTGAAGGGTTAAGAGGAGAAAAATGGAGAAAGAAAAACGGGGAGAGGATGGGGGGAGAGACAAAGGATAAGGGAGGTGAGAAAGGAGAAAACAAAAGAATCAAAGAAGGAATGTGTTAAAAAGCAGAGACAATAAGGATTTTAATGCAGTCAAGAGAACGGAGCAGTGAGTTGGAACAAATCCAGCCTCACCCTGAGCACAATATCTCTGTCCCAATATAATAGCTCAGTGTTTGGCTGTCTTATCATCAGGCTGCGAGTGATGCCCTGCTGGACGTGGCTGTCCTGCGTAATGTCTTACCTGGCATTGATGAGGTACTGGGCCACACTGATGCTGGCTGGTGAACCTGTGATCGTGACTTGGCGCATGGCTGAGCCATCAGTGGCGCTGGCAATTTTGATGTGAGCTCCAGAGACCTGGCGAATCTCATTGATCTTGCTACCCTGTCTTCCAATTATGCAGCCAATGAACTGGGAGTTGGAGATCAGAAACATGCGAATAACAAAACAGGAATGCAGAAATTAGATTTTACAAAAGAACCTGGGAGCAACCGCCGTGGCCGTTTTCTGTAGAGGGAAACCACATTTCTCTTCATTATTGTGACAACAGAAAGCATATCTACGGTCCAATATGCCCATCAGATAAAACAGATGATACATAATTTATCACCACTAAAGCACTGGCTTTTATTTTTTACAAACTGATTGGTATTTTGGCAAATATGTTTATTTCTTGTCTGAGTTAAATGAGAAGGCAGGATGATATATTAGAAACAGAAAGAGCATCTATCTTGGCTCTGTCTGCAGTAGAAGTAGTAGTGTTGATGATAAACAAGAAATTATTTTTTAAAAATTATATGATAACATGTTAATATGCATATGGTAAATAATTCAGCAGCAGCCGTTATTATCTGGGAGACAGTGCAAAGAGAATAAGTGGCTGTTGCACCTTATCACTGGGTCCCACCTGCTATGTAATAGAAAAAAGAAGTAGATAGCTTGTCTATCTACTCTGAGTGACTTCATTATACTCTTCTGTAAACGCAGCAATAACATTGTGAATTATTTTGGTCACTAAGTAGTGCAGTGAAACTCTGACACCTTAATATTCCTACAGTGTGAAGTCAGCAAAATCCACCTCCAAAGCTCAGTAATTACCTCCGCCGAGGAGGTTATGTTTTTGGTAGCGTTTGTGTCATTCTTTCTGTAAACACATTAGCTCAAAAAAGGTTTGAATGAATTCTGATAAAACTTTGCAGGGGAGCAGAGCGAGGTCATGTTAACAATCCATTAAAATTTGGCTTAGACCTACCAGGGTCTTCAAGGTCAACTTAATGATTTATTGGTCAAAAATTGGAAAAAATGCCTTTTGACTCAAAAATTGTGATTCTTACAAGTATGGTATGTAAAAAAAAAAAAAAGATTTTGACCTCTGACCTCTTCTTCAAGGTTAAAAGATTGATCTGAAGGTCAAAGTGATAACTGACCTCTGACCTTTTACATTTTAGATCTGCCTATTGACCCCAAAACGTGTTATTTTAACTGCGCTACTAACTTCTTGCATAAAATACAGTAGAAGTCCATTAAAAGTAAGAAAATGAGATGCCTTGACAGAGGTTTGTGCTCTCAGGGTGGTTCTTGTTAATTATGTTGCTTGTTTGGACAGCATAGTGCTACGTTTGTTAGCACTCTTGCTTCATGGTAAAAAGGTCCTGAGTTCATATCAGGGCTGGGCCTCTCTGTTTAGAGTTTTTACGTTCTCCCTGCACTTGTGTGGGTTCTCTTGGGGTACTCCTGCTTCCTCCCATAGTCTAAAAACACGTGTGGGTTTTGGTTAATTGGAGATTCTAAATTGGCTGTGAATGGTTGTCTGGTGATGTGTCCATGGTGTACCCTGCCTCTCGTCCTATGACAGGATGAGCTGCGGATCTCTGCAACTCTGAACTGGATACGTAAGAAACTGGATGGTACAGTGACTTCCTGGAGTCTTCATTATTTTCCCTCAATGCTCAAGAAAGACACTTCTTTTGCCCAAGAAATAGACACCCATTAAATATTACAACTTGTTGATTTTACAGTTTGGTTCAGTCATTATTAAACTAACAAGATACAACATTAAAATTCAGAATTGACAGACCAAAGCTGGGTATTTCTCCCCCTTTCCCTGCCTCCATGGTACGCTTAGCTAACAGGCTGCTGGCTTTGTTTTTATGTTTACACACCTGAGAGTCAGTCTCACTCATCCAAGTCTCAGCAAGAAAAGTGCATTTACCAAAAAGATGTTTCCTACAACATCAAGTTCTGACATGATTCAGTACAGATGAAACCAGGACTGTCTGTGTCTGAAGCAGCACAGTTAACAGTCCTCTAACAGCCGTCCACAGACATCTTTTCAATAAATCTGTTGTGGATTCCTTTTGCAATAATCGATGTCAGCCAAAAGCAAGGACTATTTAATTTCCGCAGCTAAGTAGGTGAAACATTTGTGTCCAAACAATTCCTCATTAAAGCTGTCCTCCTAGAAAGTTTTAATGAAGCCAAATGCATGGAGATTATCAGTTCAGGTTTTAGTGCCAGGAGAACACAAACAATGTAACACTTACATCATTAGGTATTGCCAGCTCTTGTGAACTTGTGGGGGCAGATGCATCCAATCCTGCAAAGTAGGACAAGGAGCGCTACCAACAGTTTGGCACTAATGGCTTCCACTTTCATAGCACGACAAGTTGCCCTACTTTGTCTAGGTTATCACTGTTACACTGCTAAATTAAGAAGCAGAAAATAGCATAGGGCAAAATAATCATTCTAAAAAGACAATACATATATACATAATACATGCATGCTGCTTGACTATGACTACCACACCAATACTCGCTATTTAATCAAAATATTGTAATGTATTGTGCTGAGTTAGTTGTGACGGAATATATGAGTACGTGGGGTGGTTGAGGTCAGGGATGGTCTGGCCAAGACAGTGTTAGATTTGGAGGAGAAATGTTGCAAAAGGTGGAGGATGGGGTCAAAAACTTAGGATTTGTTTTTGTTTGGTTTTTCTTTGGAGAGGGAAACTGGGCAAATGGGGCTGAAATTTGGGTTTGATGGGAGAAATGGTGAGAAATTGTTAAATATTTACTAAACTGTAAATATTTTTGACATTTTTCACATTTCCCTGTCAGAGAAAGCTGCTGTTTTTTTCCTTTTTCTGTCTGCTTCAGTCTGTCGCATATTCTTTTCAGTGATAAATATTTCAGTGACTAACTTTCAAGGTAAAAAAAAAGAAAGCTGGGTGGCTTAACCTTAAAAACCTACAATTGTGTTGATTATTCTTGTTTTGTTTTTCATCTTATTTTCTTGTGAAAATCGATGAAATGCAGATACATCACCGCAAAGCCACCGTCTACTCTCAAAGAAATCCTTGATCCTCACTGAAGTGACAGCAGTGTTTTGATGGTGTGAGTCGAAGAGGAGTGATGAGAGAGGGATAGATGGACTTCCCTGGGGAGCCGTGGGTACGTACCAGGGAAGGTAGGGTTGCTCTGCCCAAGGGAAGGGAGGGGGATATGCTGCATAGCCAACTGGTGAAGCTTGGTCAACTGCAGGGTAGGAAGGAAGTTAGAGCTAACCAATCAAACTGGATTATTTCAGAGGAGCTGACAACTACAAAACAGAGCCAATCTGAAGTTCACAAACATCACACATGGTGTCAGTATCAAGAGATTCATTTTCCTCAGAAAGCATGCTGACTTCTCATAGCAGTCATCTGAAAATACAGTCACATCTCAAGCTACAAAGCTACAAGTGATCATGAACTCTGCAAATCTTCATTTCCATTTCAATCAGTGCATGCTGCTACCGTGGGTTAGTGTTAGTAAAGTCAACAGATCAGGGTTACTGAAATTTGATCTTCGCACAATAGGGTACACAGAGGGCGTATCGGTGGCTTGGAAGGAGTGGGCAGGAGTAGGTCATTAGGACTGATGTCAGTCACTCAAATGAACATACTTACATCTTGATGTGCAAAAGCATACTGCCCTGGAATTGCAAAGGCCTGGAAGGAAGAACAGATGAGATATGGTTATGTAATCGGGTGGTGCAGACATGTTATAACGTGTTACTTGAAAAATGAATTTGTCACAGACCATCAAGAGGAAAGTCAGTGCAGTGAAAATCCATTCCTTTCCCCTTTTCCATGGCTCTAATGTTTATAGATCTGACGGAATTTCATCTAAATGTCATCTGCCTTCCCCCCCCCTCCTTCTCCGACCATTAGCTGGAAATCCAATAACATAAACAGATGTCTGATAGGTCAAAGCAGACTCTGCCAAATTCAGGACAGCGCCTGGGCAGCTCGTGGAAAACATCAGCCTTAGACACAACATGTAAACATGTGAATTATTCATGTAAAAGCAAGTTATTCCTAAATTTTCGGCTAAATGCATGTAAATATGATCAATGGTTGTATATATTTACTAGGGGTGCAACGATACACAAAATTCACGGTTCGGTTCGGTTCAATACTTTGGTGTCACGGTTCGATATTTTTTTGATACAAAAAAATGTTCATGCCTTTTTAATTTGTCATTTATTAAAATTATAAATATATATATTTTAACTCAAAAGTACAGTTTTTAAATTTAATGTTGCTGAAACAAAAATAATTTAAAAAATAAATATATCTGATTGAGGAATCACTCATCTTTGGAAAAGAGAGTTTATTACAGAGAAATGGCTCTTTCCAAAATAAAAGCTATACTATAGGCTTCTTCTGGGCTATATTCTCAGCAGCATATTGTAGCGGGTCAGGGCTGTTCGGGGTTCTGTTTGTACAGTTATGTTTTGTTTATGTTGCCATAGTGACGGGTGACGCCCTCTCGCTGCGAAGGTGTGTCCTTCCGGGGTCAGAGGGCGCCCTGTGTGTTGTTGTTGTTGCTGTGCGGTTGCCCCGCTGAGCAGTTAGCTAGCGGCAGTGTTCTTCTGCAGATGTCAATAAACGGCTGTGCTCCCTGGCTAGCTCACGGGAAGCAAGACCAAACAACACCTCCGTCTCCTCGTTGTCTGAGCTCGCCACATTGGTGTCAGAAGTGGGATGATGGTGGCACCCCATGTTCTGACCCGAGTGACTTTTCCCCCGCCTGTGTGACCGGCGGTGCACCAAAAGAAGGCACCTGGATATTTGCAAAGTGAAAGCAAAAAACAAGCGCAAATTCAAACGCGATTTCAATATGTCACATATTGACAGTGGCTCACCGATGCCAATGACATAATTACCCAGCTACATTTCCGAAAGAATGCAAAAGCATTGACATATATTTTTCCTTCCTACAATAGCCCGACGGGCAGGGCAGAGATAGATTTTGGTAGCCCGACTGGAAAAATCGCTAGCCCGATTTTGCAAGCCCTGTGTTACAGGCATGGCCCTTTAAGGATGAAGCCTGATGGGAAATGTATTCGGGATGTGTGTAGCGGGACTGCCTGGTGTGTGTGTGTGTGTGTGTGAAGAGAGAGAGCGGAGAAGGGGAAAAAGTAACGGTTAGCTACAGAAGAGACAGAAAGAAAATAAATAAAAGGAATATAATAACTCCCTCGACAGCCAGAGTTGTGTCGGCGATGCTCGCTGTGAGTAAACTGTTTCAGCCCACTGTACGCTGTGTTCGTGCCTTAGAGAAGAAATAAAGTTCGGTGAAGCAGTTTCCTATGCCTCCTTCGATCTTTTTGCTAGCGGAGTTGACCTGTATAGTAAGCTGTTGCCGGCTACGAGTCAGTTACGGAACCTTCAAGTAACTGCCAGAGGTTTCCTTACTATGGTTCGGGGCCGCGGATCTGGCGCGGTAACACCTGTATCTGATTGAGGAGTCACTCATCTTTGGAAAAGAGAGTTTATTACAGAGAAATGGCTCTTTCCAAAATAAAAGCTATACTATACGCTTCTTCTGGGCTATATTCTCAGCAGCATATTGTAGCGGGTCAGGGCTGTTCGGGGTTCTGTTTGTACAGTTATGTTTTGTTTATGTTGCCATAGTGACGGGTGACGCCCTCTCGCTGCGCCGGTGTGTCCTTCCGGGGTCAGAGGGCGCCCTGTGTGTTGTTGTTGTGGCTGTGCGGTTGCCGCGCTGAGCAGTTAGCTAGCGGCAGTGTTCTTCTGCAGATGTCAATAAACGGCTGTGCTCCCTGGCTAGCTCACGGGAAGCAAGACCAAACAACACCTCCGTCTCCTCGTTGTCTGAGCTCGCCACATTGGTGTCAGAAGTGGGATGATGGTGGCACCCCATGTTCTGACCCGAGTGACTTTTCCCCCGCCTGTCGTGACCGGCGGTGCGCCAAAAGAAGGCACCTGGACATTTGCAGGACTTTGTGTGGGGCAATGGGGTCGTCGGGGACGACTGACCCCTTAGGCGGGGGCTATGTAGCGGGTCAGGCTGTTCGGGGTTCTGTTTGTACAGTTATGTTTTGTTTATGTTGCCATAGTGACGGGTGACGCCTTCTCGCTGCGACGGTGTGTCCTTCCGGGGTCAGAGGGCGCTCTGTGTGTTGTTGATGCTGTGCGGTTGCCGCGCTGAGGAGTTAGCTAGCGGCAGTGTTCTTCTGCAGATGTCAATAAACGGCTGTGCTCCCTGGCTGGCTCACGGTAAGCAAGACCAAACGACACCTCCCTCTCCTCCTTGTCTGAGCTCGCCACAATATTAAACATATCAGGTCCCCATAAGGAGAATCATGTGCTAACGGCTGTCTAAATGACTCGGGTAAAGTTTGTAACATGCATGCTTGTTGTTTTTGTCTGCTTCCACTTGTCTTTGCACTAGGATGATGTCGGCGTAAATGTGCAGTCATATTCGTTGTGTTCCCACTAGTGCTCCGTTATCGAGCTACCCCTGCGTGGGGCTAGACGGCTAACACGTTAACGAGCTAACTGCTCGCTAACACACTAGTTCCCACCCATGTAATTGAGCATTGCGTGGCACATCCAACATACTGTTTTACTTTAGTCCATGACGCGCTTACCTTCAGGGTCATATGTCACATGAAAACCAAAATAATTCCAAACGCCACATCTGAATGAGGGTGGGGAAGGTTCAATTTGCCATGTTGCAAGGAGAGCTTAACTTCTGTCTTGCTAGCTTGCCCTGCGCTCGTCCTTCTGATGATGCTGTCTGTGTTGAGCGCTCAGTGGATCTGCGCTCGACAGTGCAGCCTAGGCTGAGTAGTCGAACGCAGATTTACTGAGCGCTCAACACAGACAGCATCGTCAGAAGGAAAGTTGATAAAATAAATTACAAATTTTGTATTGTTCATACATATGCGTACCGAACCGAAAGCACTGTATCGAACGGTTCAATATCGATACGAGTATCGTTGCACCCCTAATATTTACACTGTTTTGCCCGTTTAGTAATAGAAACACCCCCTGATGATCAGTGAAATTTTGAAATCACACAAAATAATAAGTCCACTCAACTGCTGCGTGTCTTTAAATAAGCTAAATTCAGAGCTAAACAACTCCCCTATGGCTACTTACTTGTGCAGAGTGCTGTGGTGCTAATACTGCATGGGTTCCAGCAGGTACGACCTTGGGACGGTAGGGAATAGTTGCGCCTTTCGGTGGAGACTGGAGACACAGTCGTGCAAACCAAAAAGGGAGAAAATTTATACACTGGCGCAGCTGAGAAAAAGAACTCTCACTGGCATTGATGCGTTTTATATCCTCCTTTATAGCACTGCCTGAATCTTTTTATATCCCATTCATCTGCAGAGAAAGTAACATAAAAGATCGGACCAAAGAAAACTGCGATACAACTGGGAGCACAGCTAAAAATGGGGAATTGGCAAGTTTTTGATCAAAATAGAAAGAGGTCAAGTGGATACTAAACCCAAAATCCAAACTCAAAGCTCCTCAGAATACATTAAGAGCATGTGCTGCGATGGGCAGTGTGAGAAAAGTTTAAAACGGGGTCTAAAAACGTGAAGAGGCTTTGACAGTACAGTGGTAATTTAAACGCTGACATTTTAACGATATGGGAAAAGTACTGCATCAATATCCAGTTTTATATGTTTGTTATATAATACACGTCTGGGTATATCAGACAGACAAGGTTAAGAACTATCAATATAAATTATCTGGGCTTTAGCTTTGAAGACATCCTGAATTTACTACCTTCCTCTGCTCTCTAAATAAATGTGACATACTTGACTTCTAAATAGAGCCGCTGAACGTGAAGATCATCTGCTGGCTGACAGCCCTTACCTCCAGCATCACAGAGCAGATGTGTCTTACACACTGAGTGATGGCCTGTGGAGTGCCGGAGATTGTGACAGCCCTCTCTGTGGAGTCCGGCAGCATGTCTCCTGCCACCTGAACCTGAGCGCCTGTGGTCTTAACATCACCAGACAACAGAAAATACAAAGGCTATTTATTGCTGAAAAGAGCACGCCATCACCCAGATTGAAATGCCGTTTCGAGCACCCCACAAATTATCCTGAACACATTTTGACATGCAGGGAGCAGCTGCAAGCCAAATAGCAATGTGCGCTCCAATATTTGAAGAGGCGCACACAAATATTGTCCATTCGGAATGAGTATTCAGGCCTTGCTCATCCTCGCAGGCATAATCAATGGGATTTTCACCCACCCCCCTCCCCGCCACCCCTCCAGAAAACATACACATAGCTTCATGTAGTTTAAGGCAGAGAAAAACAAGAAGATTTTGACTTGAGTGTTTGATACTCAGGGTGTCAGAGTGCCAGGGAGACTGTTTTCTGTGCTTGTTTGGGTGCAAAAAAAAACAACTTCCTGCTGCAACATGAAAAAAAAGAAAGAAAACGACTCATACCTCTCGGATTTCTTTGATCTTTGAGCCTCCTTTGCCAATCAGTGAGCCACACTGGCTCCCCGGGAAAACCAGGCGAAGTGTCACAGGTGGCTTGCTTGTCACGTTGCTGTTTGTCATTGCTGCGGTAATATCCTGAGGGAGATTTCCAAAATATGTTGTTTTTCAGTGTCGACTGTACGGAACATCAGCGTTATTTGACAAGTCTTTTTGTGTGTGTGCGCGTGTTGTGATGCAAGACTGGAGAAAAGGTGCAGCCAGTGTCTTTCATGCTTTTGGGCATACCTCTTCAAACTTTTGCGCAATCATGGAAAAGGCTCTAAAGATGCCCTCTGTAGGTCCTGTGATGGTGACTATCCTCTCAGGGGACGAGCCCTCTGATATGTTGATGCGAGCGCCACTCTGGAAGCAAAGCCCCGCGGTTATTCCAGCTGTGATTTGATTCGATCTGCCTGACAACGTGAAATTATACGCCCTTTCTCATTACAGATGTCAAAGCAAACACTCACCTCCTCCCTCATTTTCTTGACTGTTTCTCCTTTCTGAAATCAGGCAGGAAAAGAAGTCGGTTAGATTGGATTTATAAGAGGAATATAACAAGACAAACAGAAATAAAACAGCCAAAAAATCTATAAATGGTGATGGATTATAAAATAAATCTACCTTCCCAATTATGCTGCCAACTTCCTGCGGATGAAAAGATAACAGCGGGACTTCTCTCAACAGTTTTTCAGCAGGATGTAAACATTTTAAAAGCTATTACGACACCGTTAGGCTATTACAACAAAAATGCACTGAATGATTTGAACTATTTACAAATGTCCATTACCTTTCCGTGCATCAGCAGCCTCAGCGTCAGTGTAACGTTCAAACTCCCATCTGAAGCCATTTCTTCCTTGTCAGACATTCTCGTTTTCCCAGATGTAAAGTAAAACACTCTGCAAGGATCGAGAAATAGTCAGGTAGTCAGGAAATAACATGTAAACTGAATGCATGCAGGCTGAAGTGAACATTACCGCTGTAACATTTGACTATTTATGCACAGGGTCTCATTCAGGCCTCCATCGGGTACTGCTGCTTTTTATCTTTTTATTCTGAATTTCCAGCAAACCTGTGATTTTTGGGTTATCCTCACTACTCGTGCTAACTACCCTGTTCTTCTGTTTACAGCTAAATTCCCAGAGCGGCCTGAAATATGCATCATTTCTTTTCCTCAACAAGATTCAGCTGGAAAGACCTTTCTGGCAAAATAAATGTTAAAAGCTTTCATGAAGTGCGTGTAAGCTGCATTACCACTGTGGAATCCATCTGTGGCACAGATGAAGTAGACCTCCATCTGAAATTGTTATGGATTATTACCTTAACGAGGATAAACGTTGAGTAAGTGGAAAATTCTCCAAAGATGGAACACTCACTTTTATGTTGCTTTACGGAGCCACGTACCCTTTTGGGAGATTTTTAACTTAAATGATGCTCTCTGAAGAGTCATGGACCATTGTTGCTTGTCTTCTGATCATGTAGTTGTGAGCGGGGGAAGATAAGCCTATCGCTGCGTGCAATCTTCACATGGGACTGTGTCTTTAGTTCCGGCTAAATACAAGTTGTGTGACTCTCTTGGAGAAGATAAGATATAAAGGAAGCTACTTGTGCTGGGGAGGCCTGAGGATCAATTGATGTGTGTGTCTGTTTGTGTGAGAAAGAGACAGAGAGAGAGACGTGTCTCTTAATATCACACTGACACCACACAATGTCGACTCTGCTGTGGCCGCGTATCCAATTCTTTGTATTTGTAGAACAAATAAAGAATGTCTCGATGCAGTGAAGGACGGCCAGCTTATTGCACCGTAACAGACAGAGAGACGACTTCAAGTCTATAAAGCGCCATGGTCGCAGTGTTCATTAGATCATCATGGTTCTGCTGAGAAGTGATTTTTCTATTTACTTTTAACGCTGGGCACAATGGAGAGTTTGTAGCTAATAAACAAGATAATCTAAATGGAGAAAAAAAAGTAATTTAACAAGAGATTGATGTGATTGTGGACTAACTTAGTAATCACTCACATGTGAGACATTATCTAAAACCTTTTTGCAAATGATAGATTTGCTTCAGCTGAAATCTTGGTCATGTCAGAAAAAGCAGGAATATACTGGCTATAGTGGCTTGCTGTTGGCGAGCATGCATGAAGTACTCCCAGTTAATCTGCAGTTAAAGTCAATCCTACTCGTTTTAACAGTATGCCTAATGACAACCATCTCTCATTTCTTTATATTTTGCATCCAAGGAGCCAAACTTTACTTATTGAGTTTGACCAATAGTTCTCCAGGATTTCTGAAGGTGTTTTAAATACTGGCTGCTTCTCACTTAAAAGCTAGTTTTAGTTGTTCTCTTATTTTCATTCATATACTCCATATTGTATGTTGTTATGTATGAGGAAACATAAAATATAATACACATATACCAAAATATCATAAAAAGACTTTGTCAAAAAAATGTTTTTAGTGGACAGGTGGCTGTGAAGAAGCCATTCTTAAGGAAAGTAAACAGGGAGAAAAGGCTGAGGCCGAATTACTTAAGAACTATACAAAAAGTCAAAAGTATCAGGTCTTATGAAATGAGGAAGACGTACATCACAGACAGAGGTACAACAGTGAGTGTCTACAGCCATCTGTAAAACATAGTGGGTGCTCTGTCATTGTTTGGGGCTGTATTTTTTAGCCAGTGGTGTTGGAGATGTCAGATTTCCACCCACCATGCGTCAGATGGGCAGCAATATCATTTTTCAGCATGACATTGATCCAAAAAAACACTGCCAATGCAGTAAAAGCACAATGGAACACTATCAGTCATGTATTGGTCTCCCTATAGCCTGGTCATCAACGTCTCTGATACTGTGGGATCATCTCGACAGAGAAAAGAAGAAAAGCCAGCCAACATCTAAATAAGAGCTTTGAATGGAGGAGAAGTATTGCTGAAGACTACTTAGAAAAATTACAAGAAAGCTTGTCTAAAAGAGTTCAGGCTGTGTTGAAGAATAAAGGTGGTCAGGTTTGCTTCGTCTACTGTATTTCCATCTATCGTTTAACTAAGGCACTGCATCCGTTTTCCACTTTGATATAAAAATATACAGAAATGAGGGGTTAATCAGGACTTTTGTTTAGTATTGTACACTTGTTAACTTTTTAATAAAGAGTTGGATGAGACATTGGCGTAACATTGTGCTGAACATCGGGGGGGGGGGGGGTCAAGATCTCTGTCTAAATAAATAAATAAATCTGCATAAATTCCCAGATGTTTAAACGTGCAACTATTTTGCTGGTAATACTTGAAATGAGTAAAGACATTAACGGCCTATTTATGCAAAATAATTCATAATTTTATTAGGGGGGTTATATTGGTAGGGTCTGATTATTGGGGGGGTCGTAACCCCCGTGGAAATTACGCCCCTAGGATGAGAAGATTGACACTATTCCTTTGTCTTCATGAAGTAGGGTTCTAGCCAGTCAGCTTAGTTTAGCATGAAGACACAATTCTGCATCTTTGTTTAATCAATAACAGAATGAATCACAAAAACAATACACTATGGTTTATCTGCCTGCCTCCTTCACTGGCTCAGCCAGTTGGCAGGCAAACAGTGGAGCTCTCCAGGAGCTGTTGAACCCAGTCAAGGATTTAGTGACCTTTGGACTGAAACAGGCTAAGCTAACAGGCTGTGGCCTCATACATATGTACAGATGGATAACCCTTCAATGCCAAGTGTTTCACAAAAAGTGTCATTTTTATGACCTTCCCATAGATCCCAGCTTTTATACTCACACAAACCAATAAATACAGTACTCTGTGCCGCCATTCCACACCTAGAAAAAAGAAGAACAGCGTGATTGTGTGGGTTTGATTAAGACATGCTAGCACTAACAACAAAATTCATTCAGGAGGTATCCAGTTAAAATGTTGGTAATATCAGTGTGATGACAAGCAAACAAAAACGGGGTTTCCCAGCAGCAGCGAGAAGCTTACAATATGGTATTGTTCTAGCACATTCCAGTGTTGATAATACCAGACTGGGCTAAAGGCCTTAATCCAACCAATATCTTGAATAAGTGGAGGGTGTCTTTCTGCTAACAAGAAGCGCAGCTATTCTCTCCTCTGTGCATCATTATAACGTTCCTGTGAATACATCGAATAAAGCGAAACATCTCTGTCTAATCCTATAGGCCGGGATTTGTTTAGCTAATGCTAAGACCCTTTTGACCTATTTCTGTCACCTCTAGCATGCAGGCACCCACTCAAGACTTCCCGAACAAAACGCTGGTGCACAACAGCACCCACAGAGTATACATGATAAAACAGATAATCTACAGGAACTCAGCTCCGGGAACAGGCAGCCAGAAGTGTGCTTCAGACAATAAAAACAGGGTATTATCCCTCGGGGGAAATGGAGAACAATGTCTAAGTGGATTACTTGAAGGATTTCGTATGAAAATATATTCAAATTTGGAGGCTAAGACGAAGAATGATAGAACATTTTGAAATTGAAACAGTACTGATAAAATTACAGCATTTCAGGAGATTATGACTTGCAATTGTTCTCCAGTTTAGGAGCAATGCTCTTAAAAGACAATGTTTCAAATTACTTATCTCGCTTATCACAACAAGCCAACAGCATTCGCTTCTTAAAAATCTCGAGCAATGGCTATTTATAGCTATTTTGTGAGCCACCACATATCAGTATATAAGTGTGAGTCCTCTCAGTGTGGCATTCCTCCATCAACACAAAGCCTCCAGTATTGGAGATTCATCACATGTCTGGCTTAATGTGTTAATTAATTCAAGCCCAAACTATCTCTTAGGGGAACGGTGCAACAAAATGCATTTACAGCACAGCACAGAGTACAGGAAAAACAAGCAGCTCAAATTATCTCAGCCTAATGGGAGTCAGGAGTAGTGCATTAAAACAAAGCCTCTCATTACTCAGCTTCCATTAAAAGTCCACAACCAACAACTTCAGCTTTCTTTCTGGCTAAACCCCAAAGTTACTGTTGTATGCAACAATGTTCCCAACAAATTCTCTTCAGTGAACAATCACCAGCTTGCATTTGAAGCCCAGTGCGAGGCCTGTAATGCATCAAGAATGAGTGGTTTAAAGTACTGACCTTATATACAAAATACTGCTTCCGTGCTCTTATTTCTGGTATTCAAAAAGAATGGCGCTTTAGTTTGTAGTCCGTGCTCAACGTATGACCCTTTGTTGTCAGTTATCCACAGAGTGGACAGATGGCTCCCTGTGCCCTCAGACCGGCTGGAGCGGAGGCTGGCTTTGCTATTAGTCCCTCAGCTTAGCCCAAGATAAGCCCCTACGCAGGGCAAGTGAACCCGCATCTCTTGCCTAATTCTCCCTGTCACAGTCACCAAAGAGGCGTTCCTCCGCATGGAGTTCCACTAGCTGAAGAGGCCTAAGGGCAGGGCAAAGAGGCTCTCCGGCTGGACAGTGTCCAGCAAAGATAGAACCAGCTACAGTTACACCACAACAAAAAGACCCAGGAAGGTCTAGCCTTTTGCAGTCATCAAAAAAGCACAGTGAGATGGTGAAGAGAAGCTTTGTTAACCGATGTTGGTTCGTGTCTAACGGCTCTGCATGACTGCTGTGTTTTTCATTAGATTTTCTGAGAGCTTCCTGCCAGCACAGGGCAGGATTTTCTCTAAAAATAAATCTCCTTGTAAGAAATCTGTGCTTTCTTACAAGGAACTTGACTAATTGAGGGGTGGAAAGGACAATGTGGCGTTTGAGGTATTTAGTGATGTTAAGCACAATGTCTTCGTGGGGGGCTTTGCCCACCCCCCTTCATACGGCCTCTGCCCTCCCCCACAACAAGCCCTTCTGCCCTTGTAATGAGGCCATACTGGATACAATACAGCCCTTCTGCACAGAAAAAATGTATTCAGCTGAGACCCAAATTTGTGAAGGAAATGAATCAGTGAAGCATAAGTGGCATATTTAATTACTATTCAGTGCGTTGCACGGAGACAATGATGGCTGCTGCGAGTCTCATGGCCGTCTATCAGACGTGTAAGCAGACATTCCCTTCTCAGCTATGATTTCAATTCAGCCTCCAAGTTGCACCTCTATGATTAAAAGATTTTACCTCGTGAGAACAGAAGAAGGAAGGCTGTCTTTATAAGTCTCGATACTGACTTGATTTGACTCGCTTCACTTTTTAGGAGGCCTTTATTTCAGAGTTAAGACAAGGTTAGAGGTTAAGCAGTAAAAGTAAGCAAAGTTTTATCCAGTTATAACAAAACAGGTTCAACAGGGTGTCTCTTTGTGTCCAAACTGCAAGTAGAATCAGAAGCACAAGAGGAGCATCAAAGCATTCAAGGGCATAGCATGTGACAGCTATTTCTATCCTTTCAGAGACCATGAGATGATCTGGCATTTCATGCCAATCACTTGTGACTAATTTCTTCTCCTTCATGTACCTTGTCTGTCAACTAGATTAAAAAGTCAGGGATTAGATGTAATTGGATTACAGTGAAGTGATTACTTAGACCTGCTGGTGTAATCAGTTACAGTTAATGAAAGCAGAGTACATGTAGTGGTTACCCAAATGGGAAAAACTAGATAAAGGATAAAATATACACACTGCCCTTGCATGATTTTCTGTGGCTTTCTAGCTCTATAGCTAGCACATCTTAATCATCACACAGTATTATTGTGAACTAATCAATATTTTTAATCAGTCACTTCTGATTAATGCCCTCGTTTCTGCACCCTGTTAGCCAGCGAGGCTAGGAGTCGGATGATATGTAAGAGGTACTGAGAAGCAATTTCTCATGCTTGTTACTCAAAGCAGTGATTTCAGATGTCTTGGAAGGAATTTAAATGCCTGTACAGGATGAATACACAGTTCATGCTCATGATATTATTTAAATGTATATATGTGCTTAGCACCTGTGAACCTTTCATGTCTGCTGGGCGGACACAACGCACTCAAAAATCTGATGGATGCCCCATATATGAAAATGACAGCTATAGATTATGTGTCAGTGCAGATCTCTCATCAGCTGCCAGAAACATATGTACGTGCATAATGCATGTATTTCTACAGCCAGCGCCCCCTTTGGAATGTGTTAAAAATATATATTTCATCTGATAATTAAGAAATGTTGATGTAAGGAAATATACTGTGTCCCAACTTTTGGTTTTATATCCCACAGCACCATCTGTTTTACAGTAAAAACACATAAAATTACACAATATAAAAGAACATTTTTTAAGGTAGATAGACTTAAAACTGCATGACTCTCACTTATCGTTAATCACATTCACAAAGAATACCTGGCCTCCCAATAAGCTTACAAGATTCAACTAACCTATATTAAAAACCAGTGTACATTTTTAAGGACTTTTTTTTCTCTAAGCTAAACATTTTTAAGATTGCCAACCGTTTATCTGATGCTCTTCTACAAAAATTGGCCAAAAGCGAAGGTTGAGATTTTTTTTTTTTCCACGTGACCGCAGCGCAGCTACAACAGTTTTGATTGGTCCAAGGAGCAGCATGTTTTGGTGCTCTCTTCCGTCTTCCGTCTTCCTAGCAGTAAATAAATAAATAGTCATTACACCGAGGTAAAGTAACACCAACATCTGCTGGGTCGGCCGGTCTTACGCACAGGGACTACAAATGGACGAGGACTACAAAAGCTCAGCTGCTGTCCGCCGGACTTTACACTCTAGCAGAGTCGATCAGTAACCTACGCAGTGATAAGGACTGCGTTTGAAATATCTGAAGCAGGAGCAGTCCCGCTGTGTTTTGTGTTACCTTTGTTCGGCGGAACAATTGTCATAATGGCTTTTCACCAACTTTGCACTTTTGAAACTTTTCAGCAGGTCTCGGGGCGCTACGGTTATGGAGAAAACTTCAGAGACGTGATCGAGCAGGAGTTCACGCGGATTAAAGGTAATGATTGTGCTCAGTCCTGAGCAGCAACTGTAGTGACGGAACCGCTGGCTGTAAACCGTTGCTTCTCTGTTGTAAACAGGGATAACATACCTGGATCATGCAGCAGCTACTTTGTATCCCGAGTCTGTGCTTAGGGACTACTGCCGGGACATTACAAGCAATCTGTACGGTGAGACAAGTCACATAAAATCCCACCAAGTGTTACTGCTATGTGGTTATTTTTCCTTGAGCCATGAAATTTAAAAGCATCTCCTTTTTGTTTTTCCCCCCAATAGGAAACCCCCACAGCCACAACCCCAGCAGCAGACTCACACATGACACGGTGGACCGGGTCAGATACAGGTAAAGTCTGTGCATGCTCTCAAAAGCCTTAATAATGGGCCAGCAACTCCTTCAGTTGGTACTTTGCTGGAATAAATTAGTGAAAACATTTTCTTACAGGGTATTGCAGCATTTTAACACCACCCCTGAGGAGTACTCTGTGATTTTCACTTCTGGTTGTACAGCCGCTCTTAAATTAGTGGCTGAGAGCTTTCCCTGGAGGTCGCACACAGAGAGCCAAGCAGGGAGTCACTTCTGCTACCTCACTGACAGCCATACCTCTGTAGTTGGCATGAGAGGACTGACTTCTAGCCGGGGGGTGGTTACCCAGCCCGTCTCCCCGCAGGAATTGGAAAACAGAGCAAAGGATGAAGCTCAAGTTGAAGATGTTATTTGCCAGACACCGCACCTCTTCTGCTACCCAGCACAGAGCAACTTCTCAGGGAGGAAGTATCCCCTTAGCCATGTGAAAGGCATCCAGGCGAGACGCCTTTACCCAGCGTGCGCCCACCAAGGCCGCTGGTTTGTGTTGCTCGATGCAGCCTCTTATGTCAGTTGTTCGCCTCTAAGCCTACAGGACTGCCCTGCTGATTTCATTCCTATCTCTTTCTACAAGATATTTGGCTTCCCCACAGGTCTGGGGGCGCTTCTTGTCCGTAACGACGCAGCAGACATACTAAAAAAGACTTATTTTGGAGGAGGCACAGCAGCAGCTTACCTTTCCGGAGAAGATTATTATGTGCAGGCAGCAAATATTTCTGACAGGTAAAACATTCTTACAGCCCATCGAAGGCCAGATAGTCTCTGAGAACTCACTGTTGTGAGCATCTGTATTCAAAACGCAATGTTTTCTCTCTCCCCGATAAAGATTTGAAGATGGCACTGTGTCCTTCTTGGACATCATTGGCTTAAATCACGCATTTGAAGCTCTTTACAGAATCACAGGTACTGTTGCCAGAGCATGGCGATTCATTCAATCTGTTTAATAGCGAAATCATGATGCGTATGCGGGTTGTTTATAATCTGCCTCAGGTTAAAAACAACAACCCTCAACCTTCGTTTATTTCTTTTTCCCTTCAGGGGGCATGCACAACATCCAGCAGCACACGTTCGGCCTGGCACGATACACTTACATGCTGCTGTCAAGTCTTTGCCATGGCAACGGGAGACCAGTGGCTCACATATACACCGAAGGCCAGTTTGACAGTCCAATCACACAGGGCGCAGTCCTGAACTTCAACCTAATGGATTCAAATGGACAGATAATTGGCTATTCACAGGTGCATGTGGAAAACAGAATTTACTTCTATTTCATAACAGTCTAATAATTGTGTGTTTATGTAAAGGAGGTGAAATAATTTCTGTCACTCACAGGTCGACAGAATGGCCAACCTGTACAATATTCACGTGCGCACGGGTTGCTTCTGCAACACGGGGGCATGTCAGTCCTTCCTCGGGATCACCAGTCAGCGGGTGAAGAGGAACCTGCAGGTGAGAGATGAAAGAAAGAGAAAATTGTCAAAGTCGGTTAAGGGCATGCGTAGGTAGAATGAAACGTCTCTCTCTCTCTCTTTTTCTCTTCAAGGCCGGCCACGTCTGTGGAGACAACATCGACATAGTGGATGGCCAGCCGACCGGATCTGTTCGAGTGTCCTTCGGCTACATGTCAACATTTGAAGACTGTCAAAAGTTCCTGAACTTTGTGGCGGAGTGCTTCGTAGAGAAACCCGTCAGAGTAGACCAAGAGAGGCTACAGGAGTTAAAAAGAGCTGCTGCAGCGTCAGAGGACTCCAATGAATCTCCTTCAATCAAAATTACTAATGGAGAAGTATATAAAGGAGATGAAAAGAAGCCCACAGAAGCATCACTGAAGGGATTTCAACTGAGAGACTCAAACAGCCATGGGGTGGCTTATACTCTGACCAACATATACATCTATCCTATCAAATCTTGTGGAGCGTATGAGGTTTGAGAACAGCCCAGCCTTATCTCTCGTCTTTCTTTTCTAACCTTTTTCTCTCCTCCCCCTTCTTCCACTCTACCTGTTTTGATTTGACTCTGCTCTTCATGCAGGTCCACGACTGGCCGGTGGGCCCGCTGGGTTTACTGTATGACAGAGGCTGGATGGTGGTAAATGGTAACGGCGTTTGCCTGAGTCAGAAGAGGGAGCCACGTTTGTGTCTCATTCGCCCGCAAGTCCACATTCGCTCCAACAAATTGCTCCTGCAGGCACCAGGTCAGACACTCAGTCCATGGCTCACTGGGAATACATTTTTAAAATA